GCGGGGCCTAGACTTGCTTGAGGGTTTGTACCACGGTCCTGGGGTGGCACTTGGCCGAGGAACCCATGCAAAATTTTGGCGCCGGAGCTTGCTTGGGTGCCGAGTTGAAATACCCGGACAGACAGACAGACACACACACATACACACACCGGGGTGGTCACAATATGTGTTTTTGCATATTATGCAAAAACGCATAAAAATGGCACAAATATGGCTCACATTAAGACAGACGACGCATAAAGCACTTCATTTTGCCACTTTTAACTCAACAGTTTCTTCTTTCAGCAGCCGATTTGTGTTCATTGTTCGAGATTTCGGTAAATGGCTCAGTTGTTGAGAGCACCGTGAAGCATGTCGATGTCAGGGATTCACAGCGATGCTCCGAGATGAAAGCGGAAGCCGAAGCATTAAGTCGTGCGGGGCGCAGTTTCGATCGTTTGTTGTTCGGCCTCCGTCACACCGGGACTATTCCGGAAATTGGCCTGCCACAGCATGCAGTGCGCGAGTTTCTGATGCGTTTGGCGAGTGTGGATTCGAATAATCGTTTCGATGGGACCAGCATTGGAGCTGGGGAGCGTGAGGGACGTGTCTGCTCGGCACTGGTCCATGAGCTGCATCTCGGTTTCGCGCATGGCATCGGCCGATCCGGCAACCTTACCGAGCGCCAGCCGAAAGCTATTGGTTGCTCCATTCTCTCCGAAATTGCCAACAAACTTGCCCTTGATGCTATTCGCTTCCTGGGCATCCCCGGTGCCAAAGCAGCTATGGTTGTGCCGGTTGCCACCGGTATGGCCCTTTCGCTGTGTTTGGGCGCATGGAGGCAGACGAAAGCTCATGCGAAATTCGTGGTATTTCTTCGAATTGACCAAAAATCATGCTTCAAATCAATTTTGACGGCCGGTTTCGAGCCGATCATCGTCGATTGTGTGCGGGAGAGCCCTAGCAACGATTCTCTGATAACAGATCTCGCGACGCTGAGGTTGATTCTGGAACAAAGGCACCATGAAATAATTGCTGTTTTGAGTGCCACTTCCGGTTTCGCGCCTCGCAATCCGGACAGTCTGGTAGCCATCGGTGAACTGTGCGCAAAGTAT